TGTACTATAGGAATACAACATCTATTATGGATTCATGTTGCTACCATAAATAATCAAATTATAATTGTTCAGAAGTTTCGGCTTCCGGAGGGAAATAATCTGTTGTACGATAAATATTCAATGATCGCATTGGAGGGAGTTTCAAATCAGATGGTTCTATTGACTTGGATGTATTCTACTCAAAAAAAGAAACAAAAGCCAGTTAATTTGGTATTCAACAAAATGATCATAAAGTAGAATAAAATACAAACTATCTTTAAAGTGTCTAAGACAAGATTAATAGGATTAGTAATGAATGCTTCGGCTTCTTCTACACGGTTTGTTACATCATTAACTGTTTGTTTTACTATATTGATGAAACGCTGTTTTGATAGCAGTATGGGAAATATTAACATAAAGAATACTAAAATCGTAAAGCTTGAACATAAAATTCATACTTCTAAAGTATCTATCTTGTCATATAAAGTGTCCAAATGATGAGCAGCCTCATAAAGTTCTTTCGATACTGATTCTGAGCGGGTGGGTATATCTGTTTTAACCTTTATTTTATTTTTATTTTTTATTTTTTACTCAATGATGTCACAAATAAAGGAATAAATATGATAGAACAATCGAATAGAAGAGTAAATACATGTTCCAAAGATTGTCGGATTCCTTCCATTTTGTACGTTACATTTTCGACACTGTTTTGAACCTCTTTTACCTATACATATATACTTTTAAGTTTTATATTTATTGCATGAAGATTAAAGCGATATATTTACGTACAGTTTCTATACTAGTTTCGGAAAAATCCAAATGCTTAGCGAGTTCTTGTGATATATCGCTCACACTATATTCTCCCATTTGCCACGATATTTTTCAAGTAGAGATAACGATAAAGATATATCTGATATGTACAATTCGTATATCTGTTACACAAGCATACAAGCATGGTTAAAATTCTTTTATTGGTTGGTGATCAGCATTATTTAATTGTTTTGATTGGCTAACAGATCAAACTTCCAATTTGCTTAGTAATAGTAGATAAAATATACTTTTTCAGAATTAGACAATTAGATAAAATAGTGTTTGAGAAGTGTAGTAATTTTATAAGAGTTAGACTGAACCAGCAGTCAATATATATTTTATCGTTCTGTATTACAAAGATTAAAAGGTATCATGGCAATCCGGTAATCAGAATTAAGTAATTTTTATTTTTCAGTGTTGAATCGTATAAAATCATCGATTCTGATCGATGGACCACAAGTTATTCAATTCACCACATTACCCACCATCAATAACACATCCTTTTTCCTTATGTAAGTGTAAAACACGATATTACTGGCACATTACCGGGAAGTAGAGCCCAAATACCATTATGAATACTATTTATTTGTGTATTGTTTGTAACCAGTCATAAGGTTAATAATTTATTATTTGGGCAAGTGAACAGACATTTTCAAAATATTTTAAATGCATTAGCAGTGGGTGTAGGTGAAAATATATTAATAGGTGCTGACAACTTGGAAGTACTTCCGTTACTGCTTTTCGTTGTCTGATTCACTGTATCGTTACTAATATTACTGGTGTTATCATGACCTTTAGCAGAATGTTGGTTTTGTTTTTGTTCATCCAACATCACCTTCACATCAACTTCAGTTTTGCCTTGAAGATTCATCAAAAGATTTTTTATAGCTTCTGATTGTTCAATGTTTTCATTGGCAATCCTTAAATGTTGTTCATGAAGATGTTCCTGAAGGTCAAATTTCTTTTTTAAGTTCTCATTTTCTTCAGTTAACGCTCTTATCTGTTCATCCATCGATTCTGTTCGTTTAATGGTTTTACCAGCCAATGTAGTTCGACCCTGAAGTTTGTATGCTGTATTCTCGTCTTGTAATGAATGTATTTTATTTTTTAATGTTTTTATGGTATTTTTATTTGCTTCCATCTCTTTCTTCATATTTTGATTTTCTTGAATTTTTTCCTCCAATTCCATTTCTGTTTTAGAAAATTCGATCTTTAAATCTGCCAACTCCTTCCGGACGCTTGCTAGTTCGCGTAATGCTTCATTGTTTTGTTGCTCTTGCTGTTTTCGCCGTTGTCCTTGTAGCTCGCCCAATTGCCTTCTAGTGCTAGCAAGTTCTGCACTAAGTTCATTGATTAAGTCCCGAGACTTGTTATTTTCTTCCTGAAGATTGTTTATGATTTCTTCACGTTGTGTAGATTTACTACACAGATCAATGAATTTTTGTTTCCAATCTTCTGATGTTTCATTCTAATCAAAAGCAAAAGTTTATGTATTATCATGATTTTTTAATATTTCAAAATTTTTAAAGGTTGATTATGTAAAGATAAAATACTTGTTCTTTCTGCTCTTTTATCGGAGTATTTGATCTCTCTACAGGATCAGATACTAATTTTCCCGAAGCTTTATCACTCAATCGCTTAGGTTGTTCTCGCGGTGATGTAAACAAACGTCTAGGAGATCGAAACACTGTATTCGAATGATTAGGAGATTTACGTGATAGTACATTTAAGAATTTGGTTGATCCAAGCGTTGGTGTATTTACACGCCTAGAGGATTCGGGCACTGGTGAATTTATATGATTAGGTGAATTAAATGTTGGCGGTTCATTTCCCAACTGATTAATTTCAATTTCTGGAGCTTCAACTTTAATTATTGGATCTTCTTCAGCTTCATTGGAATCAGTTGAAATTTTTATTTTTTTAGGTTTTAAAGGCTTTAAAAGATCATCCCCGGTAGAAATCACTTCTTCAGCTTCATTGGAATCAGTTGAAATTTTTATTTTTTTAGGTTTTAGAGGTTTTAAAAGACCATCCCCGGTAGAAATCACTTCTTTACCCTGAATTTAAGTGGTTAAAATGACACGTAAATATACTGTTAACACCAATTATATAATATAGTCAATACGGTATACCTTTTTTCTTTTATTAGTTCCTACATCAATACAAATCCTTTTTCCTGAACTTCCCGGCTGCACAGATGATCCTCCAATACATGTGCTCCTGTCCCAATTTTTCTCAATGGCCGCATCCATTCCGAAATTTAAAATCCTTAGCTTTCCTTCATCCAACCAATTTTCAATCTTTTCGCATACACCTTTGATATCAAATTGCGCCACTTCACAACCGGGTATAATAAACTGATGTCTTTTCCATGCACCATAAGTTATAGCCTTTTTTAATTCTGAAAGCGTCAAATTTGAAAGATTCTTTTTCTCTATTAGCATTTGGTAACTCATAGCATGTTCTATAGTATTCTTGGTAACAAGTCTGATGACCGGAATGTTCATATTGAACACAGATTGAGCGAATTTCGATTCTGGAACGAAAGTTGTGTCATATGCAATCATAAGATCGAGGGATGGCTTTAATGGAAATAATATAGTAAATTAATTAATAAAGAAAACTGTATTTCCAATATTCATATAAATATTTGTAGATGTGTATATGCATCTATAATATGAAACGATCAAATGTATACTTACTAACTCAATATCTTTGTTCTGCAAGGCTGTTGAAAAAATAAAACACATTAAGCCATTATGAAAAAATTCTGCAACTGGTTGTTTACTGGGTTCAATCTTAATTGAAGGATCGTTAATAAATCTGTATCGATGACCATTTGACTCCAAAAAATCTATAAAAATATCCTATAAAATATATTATAAATATATTTACATGAAGTTTTATAAATTTAACAGTAAATTAATATAATAATTTACCGTCATTAATCCCGAAGGAATTGAAATTCCGATAGCAAGATTCTTATGCCTTAAAATTTTTAACAATTGCCGTATCATTACAAGTTTTCCGGTATGATCGACATCTTTTATCCAATTATTGGATTCATTTGAAGATAAAAGTAATGATAGATGATTAACAACCATGAGTAATTGCTCTTTAGCTAATAAAATGGGTGAATTCTGAGGTAAAGGCACCGAATCTTGAGCAAAGGATCGAGTTAAATGAGGTGCAGATATAATTTTACGATATGCTTTTTGTTGCATCAATGATAATGGTACAGGAACCATGACATCCAGCTGGCTATGAGATAAACGATGCATCGTTGGTATCTGACATGCCAATGGATTGTCACCGTCTGAACCATTTGTCATTGGTTTTATTTTAGAATGTATTGAAGAAGGTGGTGTCATTTTATTTTCATTGCTTGATGAATCAATCATCATGGAGGTTTCAGACCTACTCCCACAATCGACTTGAGAAAGGTCGTTTTCATTTTCATTGCGAGAACCCCCATTTATTTTTGACACCTTCCTTGCTTCTTTTTTTGGTGATAATATTTTCCCGGGCAGTGGTAAAGTTGGTGATCTCATCTTTCTTTTAGCTGCTCGTTTTTGTTGTTCCCAAGATTCAATAAGTGGCTGGGTGCAATAGCTTGCCGGTTCCTAAAATTATGATATTAATAATAAATATAAATGCAAGTGTAAAATTTAATAAATTAAAGGTGTATAGTAACCTACCCATGTTGGGGTCCAAGGCTTTCCATTTTCATCAATCCCTTTCCATTTAATAGAATAATACAGTTCATCCCCCATCAATTTCTCATCTAAAATCCTTTCAGCTTCATAATAAACTTTTCCATTGGGCATTATTAATGTCGTTACGTACTAAGTTATCCTTTTATTTTGTTTTTTTTTTCTTCTGTGTTCTTTTTTTTTTCTGTTTTTTGTTTTGTTTTTTTTTTTTATTTTTATAATTTTTTTTTGTTTTTTTTTGTTTTTTAAAGAAACAAGTTCAAAAGTTTTATAACATGTATAATAAAAACAAAAAACAAAGACCTTTTTTCTTCTATATATTTTAAACTTTTTTCTTTGCTACATAAATCTACGAATACATACCGACTACTTTCTATATGCTTTTTTTGACGACTCGTATTTTCGCTAGACACAAACAACACTTTAGACAGCTTTCTTAGCAAACCAAGCCCCTTAACGTTTGAACTCCTTAATAGCAACTTGAAGTCTCCAGTTTTGTATTTTTATTTTTTAAAAACAACTCACCGGTAAAAATAGTCTCCCTTGTTACACAACCCCTGTCTTGTCAAGAAGTTTTTTTTTATCCTCTCTATCGAACTCTACAAAGTGTTGCTAAAGGTAAATAAGAGACCACTATAACTTTCAAAATGTATGGAAGACCGCTCAAAATAATCTTTCCTGCAAAAAACAATATTCAATTTCTTTAATATTAATTTTATTTATTAATATACTATCGTACTGCACACTAAACTCTGGTATGGCAAGGAAAAAAAAAAAATTGGCCATGAGACCGGATTGGAATTATTGGTACATTTATAATTTCGGTCATAAAAATTGGGCTACCGCAGCCATTATTGTTGTACGACGGTACAAATTTAGAATTAGATCTACATAAATCCTTAAATGATGCATAAACACCCGTAAAAAAACAGATATAAAAAGCCTGAAGGAGTTCAACAAATCGCTCAACGTGCCCAAAATGATACAAGTACCTAGTGTCTTATTAAAAACCTTTATTTTTAAAGTTGATTAGTAGTCGAGTACTTTGTATAGAACTGGATACTATATTTGGGGGACATTCAAACTAATATAGTTACACCCTGGGTATTATTCAAGAACTGGGTTGGTAGAAGTGAATTATTGGGGATTTATTTTGTGGAATAATTTATACAACGTCAAACAATAATATAAATATCATTCAACCTCTCATTAACGAAATGCAAAACTCGGGTTCGTTCTTTGCTAATTAAAATCTTGAATAAAACTGGCGGAAGATAAAAAAGCCGTGTTGGATATGAATATAATATGAATATATGTCCATTTATTTATGCTATTTGGACACTGGACACCAGTGTACGAAATTCAGATTTAATTTCATGTTCTCATGAGAATATCGTTATAGTATATTTTGAAATTTTTTATGTTACAATATAAGTTTAGGATTTCTAATGTTCTCAGAGAATATTGAGGACATTGAATTTAGCGCACTGCTTGGACAGAATAATAATTATAATTATATATTATCAATAGCATGAAGTATTCTAGTCTCCTGATGTAATAATCAAATTTACAAAACTTTTTAACAAAAAGAAAATTTTTGTTATAACACGAAGGCTATTTTTTAAAGCCAAATTTCGAGGTAGGTATATCTTTAAGTTGCTTTTTTGCTTTGAACTTTTATGTTATACAGTACGATAACTAGTTAAATTAGTCACATGAATGTGGAATATTGGCGGCTCTGAGGTTATTTTTATATGCACTGCATAAATCAATCTTAGTTAAATAACAGAGTATGTATCGGCAAAACAAATACTGTTAATGTTTAGAACTACAGAGCTGGCTCGATAGTTATAAGCATGCAACTGATAATACCAAGTGCTTAAAATTTATTAAAGCATGATTTTATTGGTTAAATAAATATTACATATTGTATTAGCTAATTTTTGGAACTATTAATAGTGATATATAACTTTTATAGTGAACAACTTTTGATTACTAGTTTATTTTGGATACTTTTCATCAAAATGATCGCCTTGATAATACAATGTTAATAAGCATAAATTATTAAAATTTAATCTCAAGATTTTGAAATTATTAAAGTTTTGTATTGCTTTTAAATAAATAAATCTATGTCGCAGCCTGCGATATACTTATATCGCATTTGAATTTGATTGGCCAGTTTTAACGATCATCATTACACAAATTTTTACAAAAAATACAGTCTGACCTCTATATAATCACCAAGTTGGTTGTACCTAATTTAGTGATTGTATAGATGTGTGGTTAAAATAAAATACCAGGTTATGATCACTGACAATTGCCAATTAATGTTTAAAATAATATACTAATATATAGTTATAATATAACTGCGTATATTTGAATTTTATTGTGAGAGACTAACGTGAGGCCTGATCCTACTTGAGGCGATAAATGCGTCTGCGCTAATTTTGTTTGTACCCCAAAAATTTAAAGGGTATTTCCCGATCGGTTGTGGTTAGATTTTTATTTGACAGATATATCGCATATCGAGATCAGTATAAATAAATATGCACGGTGGGTGATTTATTGTTGATTTAATTAGTGAAAAAGTAATCGGCTGAAGGGTGGGATAATCGGTTAGACGCGAGTTCTTATATGTAATTTTTTAAATTTAAAGCACTTTCTAGTGACGTACACATCAATTGACTGTCTAGTATTTAACAAAGAATTATAATTTAAGGGATCTTTGGTTAGATTTTATCAGTTGTAATAACCAAAAAAAAGGTCCAATAATCAAAATTAGCCCATACGGCTATTAACTGTAGGGTTGGGGGCACGGTTAAAAAATTAGGCATGCCTCAATGGGCATGCCCTGGCGTGAGGCATGCCCATAGGGCATGCCCATGGTTAATCACGTGATAAGCAATCAACCAATAAAAATCGTTCAAAATTATAACCAAAATTTTATAAATGACCAATCACGATCAATTATTTCACATGATTTGTACACATAAGATATTCGTTGAATATTTAAATGCAAATTCGACAGTACAGGGTTTTTCAAAAATTTTTTTAAGATACACGATTAATGACAGAATAATTTATCTTTTATCTTGTAAAAGAAATAAAATAGCGCCGGCAAAAATTTTATTTAATCTTTTTTTTTTTTAAATTCCAAATAGAAAAGGTTAAAATACTGTCGGTAATGGTTTTTTTAAGGTTAAGTATTTTATCGCTTTTTAAATACTCCAAAGATCTAAAATCATTTTGATTCGAAATACAGACCAATAATGCTAGAAAGTATAAGCGTTGCTAACTGTATATTGTTCGAATCTTTATTTAATACTCTATATATGTTTATATATATATATATATATACCGTATTGTCGCGAAATAACGGGCATGGGCGTTATTTAGAATAATGGCCCGAATTAAGCTTAATTTAGGCCGAAATTCGTAATTTCACCCCTGCGCGTTATTTCGCGACAATACGGTATATATTTTAGGTGCCTATAATTCAATGAAAAATGCTATATAAATATGCAATGTAAAGGTATTTTTTACGTAGATCACATTGATTTTTATATATTATTAATTGATTATTAATTGATAAGATCTACTTGTTTTGTGAAATAATATCCTCGATGGACCATTCCTCTTCAATATCGTTTTGCGGTGTGAAATTATCATGAATATCTTTGCGCAAAAAATCTTCCCAATCTCTTTCAAATGCATCAAAGTGTTCAACATCAACTACACTAATATTCTCATTAATTTCATCATATCCTATCTCATCTCGTTCTATTTCATCTTGTTCTTTATCTTCAAAAAGTATATCTATATTTTCTTCAACATAATTAGGATCTGATAACTTTTTTTTATTTTTTTTAGTTTGAATAGCTTTTTGTAATTTGTTTTTAATCTGACCAAGTTTTGAAAGTGTGTCAGAGGAAAGGTGGTTTCACGATTTAGTTTTTGTAAGCCCTAAAGAAGAAAAAAGTCATTTACATACAGCTTCATAGGGAACTATTGTGAAGATTTTCATAGTAAACTGGTGAAGAAGAGAGGAATTACCACTAAATTTGGTCCAAAATAATCGAGAAGGTTTTTAAAAATCATTTGGAAAAAGATTAAAGAGAGGATCGTTATTTTTATAGTTAATTAATTCTTTATAAAGAATGCTAGTATCATTTTTACTAAAATTTCAGGTCTTTGCCAATTTTAAACATTCACGTAGAAGGCAGTCACCATTCATATGTCTTGAGATAGCTACATTTTTATAAGTTGGTGAAAGAAACAAAGCAATAAAATAAATTTCTTTAGAGAACTCCCTTGC